TTTAGTTTTAGAGATAACATCTTATCTGTGGTAGATTATATGAAGTAATGTGAAATTATGCGGTGTTTAACCTGGATTCTCTTTTTCACTGGTGTATGACAGAAACCTCTTGTATCATGCTGTTTAAAAATAGCATGCTGGAGCTTCTCTGCAAATTAATGGCTATTAAAAATTAATGACAGCTTACCTCTTTTGATCCCAGTATTCCATTTACAAAAAAGAGGCCTAAAAATCTAAACTGCGGCAATGGGAACTGGAGGGCTTTGAAGACAGGCTAGATACAAGGGTTTTCATACTTTATTTCACAGTTTAAATCAAACTGACAGACCGGCATTAACATTTGACAATTCTTTTGCAGCCTAGACGAAGTGAGTGGTGGTCTCTAATCAAACAGATGTGTCTGTACCATGAAAAAACACCACTACCATTAATATTAATAGCTCAACGGGCAAGCTGAGATTCTAGCAATCATGTAAAACAAACCAACTTCTCACCTCAGTTCTCATCAGCCCTTACAAAAACATTAGGTTGAGCTACAGTGGTTGAAATGCTTGCATAAAGGAGGATGTAATTTGCTATAGAGAGAAAGTAAAGTTGCTATAGAGAGAGAATAAAGTTCCTATCACTGTCAATTTGGCAGAACTTTTTAAAAATTATAATGGAAACACCCCCCTTCCCCCCAGCACCATATGGTCTTTCAGTTCAGTACTGGTCTTTGAATGCAGAAACACACATCATCTATAAGACAAGATGAGCACCCACTTCTTGAATCAGAACTGAGCCTCATGTTACAGCTGTACTTAAATCACCAGAGCAAAACCAGTCCCAAACACTGAACTTGTCAATGTTATAGATCTGTGACCTTGAAATATTCTAGTCCTCTTCCTACTCAAAATATACACACACTCCCTTTTTGCTCAGTGACCACAGAATTGGGGGAACGGGGCTGACTCTTTCAGGATTGTTTTTTTCCGTTGCTAACACTGGAAACATGTTTTGTGCCAGTTACTTAATAGCTAACCTGACATTTCGACAACCGTGAACAAAGAAAATGTTCATGTATGCTTTCTACTTTGATAGGGGCCAATCTTTTTAGCAGGTGTGCTACAAATTAGCCCCACATTCTCCAACTGTCATTCGATCCCTGTCCCCCTACTTGGCCCACTGCTCTGCTGCCCACCCATCTGGCTAACCACATGCCCCACACAAAGGCCCCCAGTGCCCCTCCTACTGCAGATTGGCCACCCCCCCCACAATTTCATCCATCAGCCATATTTTTTTTAATTTTAATTTCATGTTTCACATCAAATTAGCCAAACTCATTCTGAAACCTATCATAGATTTCATTGATTTCTAGGGTTGGAAGGGACCTATTAGATCATCGAGTCTGAACCCCTGCTCTGGGGTAACTCCCAGCCAGATGCTTGTCTAATCTCCTTTTGACAACCTCCAAGGTAGGGGAAAACACCACCTCCCTTGAAAGTCCATTCCAGATTTTGGCAACCCTCACCGTAAAGAATTTCTTCCTGATGTCTACTCTAAATCTACTCTCTTTCAGTTTATGGCCGTTGTCTCTAGTAACCCCAAGGGCCGCCCCGCAAGTACCCCTATTCCCTACTGATCCCCTGGATGAGTTTGTAGACAGCCACGAGTTCACCTCTCAGCCTTCTCTTGCAGAGGCTGAAGTGATTCAGGTCCCTCAATCTGTCTTCGTAGGATCTGACCTGCAGGCCCCTAACCACACGAGTAGCCCTCCTCTGAACCCTTTCTAGGTTATCCACATATCTCTTGAAGTGTGGCGCCCAAAACTGGATGCAGTACTCCAGCTGCGGCCTCACCAATGCCCCACAGAGGGGCACCAATTGAGCAGAACTCAATTGTTCAGATTTATATGCAAGTATCCTCCCTCCCAGCCTCAGGCTTCAGATATTGCCAAAGCCATGATAGGTGTCCTGTGTGCAGGCCCAAGCTCAGAAGTCTTGTGGTTCGCACACGCTGAGTGTTGCTTGCCTTTAGCAAAGGAGCAAGCTAGGAAGGATTCCCCCACAAAAGGACCAAGGATCACTCCCCAAAGTAGGGGGAACCCATCCCAAAGGAGCAAGGATCGCTCCCCAAAGCTAGGGAGGATCCTCCCATCCACATAATACAGGGGTGATCCCCCACCTCGTAAAACGGGCACCGTTTCAAAGGACGTTTCCAACCAGAGCCCCCTTCCCGACGTCGCACAAGGCCCTGCCGTCGCCAAGCCCGGGGGGCCGCCAGCCTGGCACGAGCCCCCCAGACGGTCCCACACGCGGGGTCCTCCCCCCGCCCTGCCCCGCGGGCCCCGAAGCGGGAAGGCAGGAAGGCGTCGCGCTGCGACCGAGCCGGCTGAGGGCCCCCCTCCCCGCCGGCCCGCACTCACGTTCTCCCACCAGCAGGATCCTCACGTCCTTCTTCATGTCCCCGCTGCTGGGCCCGGCGCGGGGCCCGCTCACATGGGGGCCGGGGGGGTCGCGGCCTAGGCCTCGCGCGAACGCTCCTGCCCCCTCAGCCGGCTCGGCGCGAGCTTCCCCCACCCGCGGCGACGGCGGCCCGTGAGGGGCACGTTCCGGCCGTAACAGCAGCGACGGCGGCCCGAGAGGTACACGTTCCGCGGACGGCGCGAACCTCTCCCCGCCCCTCAGCCAGCAGAGGCCGCGACGGCGGCGCGGAAGGTACAAGTTAAGGCGGGCAGCGCGAGCGCCAACATGCCCTCTAGTGGCCAGGAGGAGCGGCGGCGGCTCTAGCGCGGGTGTTGGGGCCTGCCACAGCCAGAGGGGGGCTAGGATGCTTGGGCTTGGTGCAGAGGAACTTTCAAGTCTAAGGAGGGAAACTAAGGGATAAACGTCTCCTGTGAGCCCCGTCACTGTAGCTCACTGAGGCCGCTGTCGCATGTTACGTTGCATTGCACAATTGACAGGCAAGCTGCACAATAAACATAGCCCAGCCACACGTGCAAAGTCATGACTGCATGACAAAAATGACCCTCCCGCTATAAAAAAGGGGCTATGAAGTTAGTGCTTGGAAATGTGCAACAGGTTTCCAGCCAACTTTAATTGAACATGGGGCAGCGACAGCACAGTGTGATGGCAGAACTGCTGCGCTCGCTTCCACGCGTCCGGAGAAGACGCAGAAAAGACGAGCCTGCTGCCATGCCGGCAGCTGAAACAGTGCTGGTGGAGAGATTCCTGGACCGTGACGTGCTTGGAAAAGAACAGCCATGCGGTCATTTGTTCTTCCCGCCCACCAAAGAATCCAGGCACGTACAACAAATACCCTCACTACACGGCAGAAAAATCAGCTCTGAAATTCAGACAGCACGTATGTATTGAAGTACCAAAGTGTAAATGTTATGGTGAAACCTTGCGCTTAACTATACAAAGAGCGGAGAAGATGGTAAAAGAAACACCGATTTGATTTACTAATAGTTTTTATTAAAGGTAATTGCCCATAAGTATTCCAAACAGTACTTGCAATGTATTTGTGTATATTAGATGCGTGCCTGATATTCTTTCTGGAAGCTGACTGGGAACTGTTTGTTAATGCTGCACTCAGGCTTTTACATAAAATATACCTGAAGCTTGACTCTGTGCAATGCTCTCAGGAAAACAATTACAAAAAACGAACATGGCTATGTTTTAACATGGCTCTAAGCATGAGACTCAGCATAAAGGTGAGTGTAACAGAGGAAAGATCTCAGTCCTCTTCTCTCCATTACACTTAAGTAGTAAATTTCAGTTGGGGAGTAAGTATTTGGAAGATCAAGGCCTAATATGACGTTATACAAATTTCAGTTAAGAAAGTTACTTCCAAATAATGTGCATCGCATATGTTAATTAAAACATTTCAAAACGTACATGGACGACTTTAAAAACTTCAGCAGTACCAGTAGCACCTTTTCAGCTCAACAGCTTCACTTATTTCATGGATTTATAATTGTGCTTAAAGAGAACCTTGTGAGAGGCAGCATCTTTCCTGCACAGAGGTCCTAGAATTGGCAAGTAAAAAAGCATCCATCACATACATCATCACATAGATTGTACTTTTGAAAGAGCCATCCAGACACCATGTGAAGAATTGCTGCAGTACAGAAGGAAAACCCCCATCAATCTCATACCACTGGTTGTGACATATCACCCCTCCCTGGAACCTATACAGAAAATCCTCAGACAATTGCAACCCATACTAGAAGACCACATTCTTAAAGAGATCTTCCCAGAACCACCCATCCTAGCCTTCAAACAAGGACCAAACCTCGCCAACCTCATCACCAGAAGCAAACTTCCTATGGCCCAAACCATACCGAATGGATCCAGACCATGTTGGGACAACAAATGTAAAACCTGCCAACATATCCAACACCCCCACAATTACTATACCCTACAGCAGAACCATCAGCATTCCTGGATCTTACAGCTGCACCTCCAGAAATGTAATACATCTCGTCCAGTGCACCAAATGCCCTGATGGAAAATACGTAGGAGAGACCAAATAACAAGTGCTCACCAGAAATCTATCAAAGACACAAATACCCAAATACTGGTAGGGGGACATTTCTCACAAGAAAACCACTCTCTCTCCAGTCTCTCAGTTCTAATCCTCAAAGGGAACTTACAAAACACCTTTCACAGATGAGCCTACGAACTTCACTTCATCAACCTACTGGATACAAAAAATCATGGACTAAATCTAGACATTGGATTTATGACACATTATAACCTGCCTAACATCTGACTCCCCAGGTACCTTTCCATATTTACCAGCTACATTCATTCCTCTACCCAAACCTGTCTCTCATCCACTGACTCCTCAATTTACATCTTCACTGACTGGCTCTCTTGCATGCATACCAGCCTCTGGCTTCTTGACTATTAATTCCATCCAGAAAGAGCAGAGTCAACTGCAGATACTTCCTCAGCCTGATGAAGGGTATTTACACCCAAAAGCTTGCAAAGAAGAATTTTTCCAGCTATCTGAATTGGTCTAATAACAGATATCAGATTTACCCAAAGAACCTTATCTGTCCATCAGTCAGTCTCTAACATGCCTGTCTCGTGCCTGATTTCAGACCACGATTAAACTACCTTTCTCAGGCTTTTTTGCGTGTAGGAAGGGAATGTGTTATAGCACATTACTCCTAATAACAGTTTGCCCTGCTGAGATTAAAAGTCTTGTCTCCTGCTGAGCTTTCCCTGTTCAAATGCATCCTTCTGGAAGAAATCCTCTTGAAAGGATGAAGTGGTGCCGTACCTATATTGACACTCTGTTCTTTGGCATAGTGAGATGCAGTCTGTAGGTTAGGCTTAAGCCTGTTTCTGCCCTTTGTGAAATAAGTCTCTGGCTACATGCAGTTGGAGGAAGAGAAATGGTCAGCGTGGGCTGCTTTTCCTCCTCACTGTTTGACAGGGTCACTTTAGCAAAACCAGAGCAGGTCAGGCCCAGTCTGGAACAAGGAAGGCAAACACAGAGAAAAGTGGAAGAAAACATCCCGTTAATGTCCAGCATTAAAGCAACTCTATGCATTACAGCCCAATTCTTCCCTTTCCGTAGGTATTGTAGCCTACTCTTTCTTTATATGATTTATACTCAAGGACCCGTTTTCATCCAAGCCATACATCCAGAAGGCAGGGTACACAGGCTCCAAGATATTGATTTCAAATGTATGTAAGCATGTTTCTTCTTTGGCGAGGGAATAAAATGACAGGTTCTTGTCTGATAGATTGAGAAAAACACCAACCCTCAAGGGTTTCCCTTCCTTTAGTGGGGTTTTCTGGTTCCTATGCCATGCTGACAATTGTCCATTAGTCCATTCCACACACCAGGAAAGTTCAGTTCTTCCCAGTCTCTCCCCACTACCAATCTTTCTGTCAGCGATTCCGACGGCCCATCCAGCGCTGTCCTTGGTAATTATTTCCCAGTAATGGAATCCAGAAGAGAAGCTTTGGGAACACATGACCTGGCTAATGCGGAACCTATTGGGAGAGTCTTTGTAACGTGGGGGATAAAGAGACACAATCACTTTCCTGTTTTCATCCTTGACCTCTAGCTGGTGATGAATTCTTTCAAGATCAAAGGTCACATTTTCTGCCCCTAAAATAGATAAAGAAAATATTCTGATCCAAAGGCAATGGGGAGACTTGTCAAGTCAATGTTTATGAAACCTGGTAAACAGAAATGCCTCTTGTACACTGCTGGAGTTGTGCCCCATTAGGTAATCAAAATGAAAGTTGGCCACCAAACAAGAATCCTTCACCCAAATTGCATCCCAGAGCCCAATCTTGCAAACTGCTAAGAATCTTCAGCCGAACAGTAGGAGCCAGATCCTGAGCCTGGTGCTGACTCAGGCAAACTCCTATTGACTGTGACCACTGAGACTGAGCAAACCTTTGGTACTGACCTAAAGACTAAGCTTGTGAATTCCAGTGGAAACTAAGTATGGTAGTGCTAGAGTGATGTAGTAGTCGTGATGGTCCAGGAATTAGGCAAGAGGCAAAAATGCCTCGGGGTGATATCTGTTATTGCAACAACTGCATAGTTGGGATAGGGTTAGATAAGCTTTCAAATGAAAACAGTTTTTATCGGGCCTGAGAAGTGACAGCCAACACAGCATGGTTAAAAAAGCAACTAACCCAGCTATAAGAGGGGAAGCTGAGGTCACTTAATACCACACAGGGTGGACCCTGTTCCCAAATGGCAATCTTACAACCAAATTATGTGTAACAGAATAAAAAGTAAGAAGGTTACCATGCCCAACCGAGACTATAAAACTACTGCTTCATTGGAATCATATAAGTCTGGAAAGGATCTTGTGATGTGAATTGGTTCAAAATCTGGCTCAAGACAAGATCTCTCCCATATAAAACATCCCACACAAATGTCTGTTGAACCTGCTCTATAAAACTTCTTATTGCTGAAATGATACTACTTTTCTAGGTAATTGGTTCCTGTACTTAACCACCCTCTGAGCTGGAAAGTTTTTCCTACTATATTACTTAAATTTCCCTTGTAATTTCAGCCCATTACATTTTGTCCTGTGCCCTATGGACATGGAGAACAATTGATTGCCATCATTTTTATAACAGCCCTTTTTATACTTAAAGACTGTTATCAACTTCCCACTCAGTCTTCTTTCCTACAGAATAAATAAGCCTTGCCTCATGTGTCATGTTTTTGAGAACTCACTCATTTTTTGTTGGTCTTCTCTGCGCTTTTTCTAATTTGTCAACTTTTTCCCTGAAGTGCAGTGCCCAAACTGGATATCATACCCCAGGCAAGGCCTCACCAGTGCCTTGCACATTAATACCTCCCAGAATGTTACTAAGATTTTTGGGCAACAATATTATACTATTGACTCCTGCTAAGCTCCAGTCCTCCATAAACTCCCTGCTCCTTTTTCTGCAGTACTGCAGCCTAGCTAGGCACTCCTACTTCTGGATTTGTGCAGTCAGTTGTTCCACCCCTTTGCATTTGCCGAGTGAATTTCATCCACTTTATCTCATACCTTTTTTCCCTCCATTTACCAAGATCACGTCAACAGGGCAGCCCAGCTTGGTGTCATCTGCCAATGAGTGTACACTAAGTCCTAACTCACAAATGAAGGTACCGAACAGAACCAGACCCATGTTACTGACTGGTTCTTAGACAAATAATTTTGCATGGTGGTTACACTACAAATTAAATGGCTGCTACAGTGTTGTAAAATGTTCTTATCCTTTAAATGAGGTAATTATAAGCAAACATCCAGATCCTCAACTGTGTTATACATGCACATCTCCTCTACTAGTAAAGCTGCACTGATTCACAGCAACTGAGGAACTTGCTCAAAATGTTCTAGAAAGTTGTTGGTGAATGGGCCAAAGCCTTTCATCTGGAACATCCTTTTTATTGAATTGTCATATTGGCTCACATACTTACACAGAGCAAACTGACTTGAAATAATTGGGTCTGGACTACTGTCTGCAGGCTCTGGACATGAAGAGGCAACACTGGTCTCAGCAAGTAAATCTCCAGGTTGTACTAAACATGAAGGGAAATATATATATATATTAGGGAACTTCTTCAAATAGCAGATCCTTAAAACTAAACACAAGGCAAAGGCAATTGCCAACAGTTAGTGTCTGTAACTGTGAGGAAATGGAGTTAAGTGTATATCATTTACACTTAAGTTATTCAGGCTTTAGGCATGCAACTGTGGTCACTGCACTTCGAAATGACCTGTTAGATGCATAAAGGACCAATTGGGCATCTGAGCATGGAAGCAATAAGGGCTATTATGTATACAAATTAACCATGCTGTTCTACACAGGTTCTTACACTGTGCTCAGCACTCTGGTGTCCACCTGACATAGTTTTAATGTGTGATTTATTTCCAGTGTATTTCATAAACACTAAATAATCCTTCACTCTAGTTACCCAAGTACAGAGTCTCCTAATATTCAGTTCTTAAATCTCATAGGGCTGTCTCTCAGATTTGCAGAAATACCGTGATGCATATTTGATAGACTGTCACTTGGCACTTTCACCATACAGCTGAATCATTCTTAGCAGTAATCTGTGTGGGGCTGGAGAAAGCTTTTTTGGCAACTATGTCTTGGGAACAACTTTGCTTTTATATTAATCCTCTATAGTCTTGTTGCATAAGCTAATATGCTCATACTTAAGCATCTGCATGTATTTTTACAAGAGTGGTTATTTAAATAACCAGAGTGCAAGAATCATATTGGAAAGGAAAAGAACAAAAAAACCCCAAACAATCAGAAAGAGGAAGCAGACTGCAGGTATTCTTTATGGAGGATATGCTCTGAGCCCACTCAGTTTTAATCCTTTGGTGTCACGACTCTACTGAAAATTTGTTTCCAACAAATCAGTGAGAAACAAAAAGCAGGTCTTTTTGTCTTATGCCAAGTATTTTTTTTTAGTTAAATCTTCAACTCTGAGTGTAAATTTCCCCCATTGCAGTAGGATCTTAACAAACAAGGGACAGAAAAAAGGGTTGACTTCAATGGGAGATAACTGTGTTCGGTACCTTTGGGAGCTGCTTGGTACTTTGCTGAATCAAACTCTGTAATGAGACAAGAGATTACAAAATAAAAGAAAGATATAAGAACACAGCATAGGAATATAAGAAATGCCATTTATAAGGGTCCATCCAGCTCGGTATCCTGTCTCAGTGGCATAGAGTAGAGGCTGAAGTGGAGCGTGCACAGACAATGTCCAGAATCTTCCACCCCCAGCCCCTCTCCTATTGCAGCTTCCAGCACTCAGAGGTTTAGGAAGTCCCAATCCAGAGACTGTACCCCCATCTACCATGTTTAGGGCCTGTTGACGGAACTTTCCTCCAAGAATTGGCCCAGTCCCCTTTGGAACTGGGTAAAACTACCAGCCTCCACACCAGCTTGTTAGAATGAGTTCCACAAGTTAATTAAATCATATATGAAAAATAACTTCCTTTGATCGTTTTAAACCTACCACCCAATAGTTTAATTTTCTGCCCCCTAGTTCTAGTATTTTGAGAGACCATAAAGAATAAATCCCTTCTTACATTCTCTGCATCATTTACTATTTTGTAAATCTATATCATATCCCTACTCAGGCATCAAACTGCTAGCCTATTTAGTCCCTCTTCACATGAAAACCATCCATGCCCCAGTCAATTTATGTTAACCCTCTTTGTACCTTTCCTAATTCTTCTATATTTTTTCTGAAGTACGGAGACCAAAACTGTGCTCAATATTCAAAGTGTGATGCACCATAGAGTTATAAAGGGACACAATGATATTTTGTTTTATTTACAATTCCCTAAATAGTTCCTAATATTTTATTTGCTTTTTGGGTGGTTGCTAAGCACTGAGCTGATATTGTTTTTAGCAAACTGTCCACAATGATGGGACATAATGTTGAACCCCATCACCATATATGTATATTTTGGATAATTCTTTCCCATTTGCATCACTTTGCAGTCATCAGCACTGATTTTCACTTGCCATCTTGCTGTCCATTCACTCAATTTTGAAATATCTTTCTGTAGGTCTTCAAAGTCCACTTTGGTCTTTACCACTCTGAATGGTTGTGTCACGATGCACCCCTCTCCCCCTTCCCAGATCTTTTATAAATATATTACTACATTAAACAGCACCAATCCCAACAAGACCCCACTGTTTATTCTTTCCATTCTGAAAGATGACAATTTATACCCACTCCTTGCTTTCTGACCCTAGAAAACATGACGAAAGCAAGCTTACCTGATGGTAGTTGCCTCGGATATCTCTCCAACATTGATTCCAATTGTTTCCTGAACTGTTCTACAGCACTTGTGACAGCAACGATCTTCTCACCATTGAGTGTTACACAAGAGCCTGTGCATATTTCTCCTTCAAACTAACAGTAACAGAAGAGAAAATTTCTGGTGACTTCATAAGGTCAGGATGGCAAACCACTAGTGAGCTCTCCATAAAGCTTATGATACACAGAAGGGATAAGGGTTCCTGAAACTTCTGAAAATACTCTAAAGATATTTCTTTGAACTTACAATACCTTTTTGTCCCCAGTGGAAGTCACAAAGGGATTTGTTTGATATATATAGTCAGAGAAAATGTGTTTAACTAAACAGCTATTCAACACATGATTTCTCTCCCTCTAGACTTTCTTTTCCAACTCCAGGCATATGAAACTCAAGAGGTTTTTAACATTAATTTGGACTGGATATAGCAACAGACCTCTACCTATATAAAGGTCCAATTGTAGGATCTGACACTGAGTTCCTATTTCCCACCACTCCTAACAACTAGCAATTACCAGGTCCAGTTTAATCAACAGGATTGTTTCCACACACTCCCCAATATGCTCTGCAAGAGGAGTGGCAAAGTGCTTTTGTCATGGGCTCTCTTAAGAGATCTGGGCTCTTTCTGCATGATAAGACTCCTGCTTTTTTCCATCTATGCATGCCCTCCCTCTGGAAAGCAAATATGTTATTGGATCTCATCTGAACCTTAGATTTGACTGATCTAATTTAAACAGATATGAGAGAAACAAGTTTGTCTTCCTACTGTATTCCACCCACTCATTGGCTGTGTCTGCATTAGCATTTTATTTTTCCTAAATTTCCCACCACTGGTAGCAACAGTGCAGACCAGCTGCCAAATCTGGAAACGCCATATGGTTCCATCCTACTCAGACCGCGACAATGCTGTCCTATTCATACCAATGCATTTATGCCACCCTTGTGCAACAAGAGTGCAGCTTTGAGAAACCTGAAGGGAACGTGACAGCACGATGCACCACAAAGGATTTAGCCCCATTTCTACGTACATTCAGCTGCTTCAGCAGGCTGTTGTTTGCCCCTCTTTCCATCTGGGTTTTGATTTCTGTGAGCTTGTTCAGTTCGCTGGTGAGCTGGCCAATTATTTCTTCTGTTTTTTGCTGGGCTGTTTGCTGCTCTTGTGCAATGATCCTCAGTGTCTCTCTCTCTTCCTGGGCAAGACGCTCTTTCATGGCACCAAAGTCTTCAGTAATCAAGCCTTTGATCTGAGAGAGATTTTCCTGAAAGGAGCAGATCCAGGGCAGTGAGGACAAAGAAGTTTGGAACTTGGATATCAAAGGCCTTGTTTTACCCACTCTGGCAACTGACCACTTCATTCCAGCACAGTTATTTTTTATCAAAGTGAAGAAGATACTAGTTGATGAAGATTCATATTTGGCACAAATCTTGTATTGCCTGCAGTGGGAATTTGGGGTACACAGGGAGCATAGGATTTGGCCTCCTTGAAAGCCAGTGGTTCTTAGTTGCTATCAGAACACGTTCTGGCTCTCAGATGTGCAAAAACATACGCTACTCCCTGGACAAGGTGGACGAGACAATGACATGAATGGGTTTGTCGTACCCATACAGATCACTGGAGGAACACAGCTATCCCAGTCGGTGCTGTGTTAGCTTGTCTCAAAGAAAACCACAGGAGATGTAGGAGTGAAAAGGGAAAATATATCTGCTGCATTCTAAATAAAGCAGGCTGTATGTCTACCTCCAAATATCAGGCTGACAAACATCCATACGTACATTTATTTCATCCATGTCTTTCTCCCGGCTGTGGATGGCATCTTTGACCATTTCAATATGCCTGGAGATCTCACTCATTTCCTCTGTCTCCTTTAAAGGGAAACACATCAGTGCATGTTTACGCAACCATTATAAAGAATATCATAGGCTAAGGTAACAAGGTGGTAAAAACACCAGGCTCTTTTGTACCTTCCACTACCTGGACACTGCTCCACCCAGTTAAAGATGCAATTAACTTTCAGAAGATGTCTAATCCACAGGAAGCCAACAGGAAGCTCTTGGGCTTAGTGTTATGCAGGGGTTTAAGTGCTTTGCTGCAGATATCAAAGAGAAAAAAGGGAGAAAGGAAATTAAAGACAGTGAAAAGGGAGATAGGAAACAAAAGAATGGAATGGCAGAGTTGAAGGAAGAGAAACAGGAAACACGAGCAAGGAAGAGAAAAGAAAGGTATTTGTTAAACAGGAAAAAGAGGAGGAAATGAGAAGGAAAATGGCAAGCAAAGAAATGAGAAAGCAGAGTAAGGGGTAGGGGGAGGGGGGCAGGAGTGAGGAGATAGGCTGGGGGAAAGCAGCACGTGAAGGTCAAAGGACCGGGAGCCTTACCCACCTGGATGCCCCTGCAGCTACAGGCAGTGGCCGTAGGCCTAGGTGGAGGGGCCAACACAGCTGGGGTGTCCAGCAGGCCTGGGCACAGAGAGCAGCCCTGGCTGGCCTCCCTCCTTCCAACCACCCCCAGGACCCTTGTGCTAGACCCTGCAAACAGCCTTCACAGGCTTCAGGAGTTAGAGCACCACTCTTCCAGGATAGGGTGAATTCCAGCACAGGCTACAAAGTCCCCCAGTTCCACCCAAGTAGTAAACGCCCTCTTCACTCCCTTAGGGATTATTTCCAGCACTCAGGGGCTGCAAGAAGCAGCTGAGGGAGACAGGCTGGGCTCGCTTCCCACCAGGTTCTGTGTTACTGTCAGTAGCAAAAGTGTCTGTTCACGATGTCACTCCCTAAGGTATCACCAGGTCAAAGGGGCAAAGCAAGTGAGTAAACACAGGTGGGGAGGAGGAAGCAACTCATGGCAACCAACTCCAAAAGAAGACCTCTAGGGTCCAGGATAGAAGGACCCCAAGGCCTTTCCAGATGCCTAGAGTTTGATGTCAGGGGCTCTGTGAGGAACTGCCCCCAACACTCAGCTCCCTCCCTTCCAAGGGCAGCTCTCAGCCCCATGTCACAGGCTGTGCTGTCAGACTTGCCTAACTGTGGTCCTTCAAGTTCAATCAACATCAAAAGATATACCACTTTAAAGAAAAGTGGTCCGGCTTCCTATTCCCCCTCGATGTACCCATCAATATTGCAGCACTAATGCAACATCCAGCAAATAGAAAAATAATCCGGAAACAATGTTACCTTGCTCAAACTGAGATGGGCTCTCTTCTTATATCCCCCAGAAAAGTACTTTCTGAGATATGGCCCAGACCTGTAATACTCTGAACACACTGAAGTCCTTCATTTCCTGATTTCATGTCCTAATGCCTCCTGCCTATATCACAGCTATATACTATTATTTAAGTAATTAATCTAGATACGCAGTGCAGAGTATGTGTCCTGTGCTCCCAGGCTTTCCTGTCTGGAGGAAGCCCAGCCTGAGTATTCTGCTCCCAAGATGCACTGGTTTCTTGCTCATCACAGCCAGAGTTTCAATACATTTTACTGGTTCTTCAACTCACCCTTCCCATCTTCTGGATTATTTCCACTATGTTGGCCAGCTGTCTGATCGCCGTCAAGTCTTTCCACTGAAAGATCTGCATGCAGTGTGGGCACTTGACATCTGTCCCCACCTCCTTGTAGTGCTTGCCGATACAGTCTCGGCAAAAGCTGTGGGAACATTTTATAATGATCACTGGATCTTTAAAGTAGTCCAGGCAAAGAGAACAGGTCACTTCTTCCTGGAGATTTTTGACCAGATTAGCAGCAGCCATGACCCCCGCCAGAGCGAAACAAAATGAACTTTCAGTTTCCTTTCCCCTGCTGAAAGACTGTCTACCAATAAACACCGAGAGGGCGGACCCTTCCAATTCTCTCTCCAATCAGAGTCAGCTAAATAACCACTTCCCAAACTGAAACTCTGCCTTGGTGAGCATCTGCTTCCCTATAATTTAACCCACTGTATCGCTCCCAATATTCAGTATTTGTCTTATAGGTGGTCTGTAATTAGAAAGTTCAGATCAGCATCTGAACCAGCATCAGGTCTAAGATCTGGTTCAGGTTGAGACTATCGTACACTGTTTCATGATTCCTGCATCCCCCCATGGTAGTACTCTGGGTGGTTGTCTCACTGTCATGCTATAAGCCACCGTTTGCTGGTCTCACACAGCCTGGGTTTGAATTTTCATTTCTTTCTGAATTGAATTGTCACATGCTTAAACACTCAGTTTCATTTTAAAGAGAAACCTTTACAATGGAAGCTGGACTCAGAATCATATAGAGTTATGCATTTCAACATTTTTAGACTCAAAGACCCCTCAGAAAATGCCAGCTCCTAGCTTTCACAGGTTTTTTTGATTACACTAAAAAAAATAAAGCAATTCTATTATTGCAAA